TTTTTTTTTTTTTTTTTCTGAGACAGGGTCTCACTATGTAGTTGAAACTGACCTGGAACTCACTATGTAGCCCAGGCTGGTCTCCAAATCACAGCTATCCACCTGCCTCAGCCTCCTGAGTGCTGAGATTACAGGCTTGTGCCACCATGGCCGGCTAGGAATATCTTTTAATTGGCCTATCTTAGGTACCTTCATGCCTCACATACAGTATTTTGAGGAGTGAGAACTCAGGAGACATTAATAGGAGGATCCAAGCAAAACAGTTTCAGAAAATACAGCAGTTCTGTACATTTACATTAGGTCCTGCAATATTCAGTCAATCAAGAATATTTACTGAATACCTTTTGTGTGTCAGACACTGGGTAGGTGCTGGAAATACAATAAATGTACCAGTAAATTTGTTCATGAATGTATTAAAGTTCAGACTGTTATGGGCTTACTATCCAGAAGATGTTAGACTGTTATAAGACCAATAAACTGAGAAAAGTTGATGTCACAATTCTGCTGAAGGGCATGTGTTTAAGCCAAAATGTCAGCTCATGTGGGAAATGCACAGGATGCACTCATTCAGCCTCCCCTCAGAAGCCTTCTTGCCTCATTGCTGCTGGCTGAAATTCTGAGCAGGTCCCAATCTTGGCACACCTGGCTCCCACCCATCCAGATTCACTGGATGGTTCACTTTTCATCTCTAAAGTTTTTTTCAAAAGCAAAACTAACAACTCGAGCTCCTGTCACTTCAATCAAAATGATTGATTGTATTGATGCTAGAAAGTCCCTTGTGACTACAATGTCTTGCATCATGCAAAGGTGGGGCTGAAATTTAAAGGCCTTTGCAGATTGTCAGGGCCTGTTTGTCTCAGCGGTTCATGGTAGGGGTATAATAGAGTCAGTGGCCCTTTCATTCTTGAGGCTACTGGGCAGAGCAATTGTCAGTCTAGCTGGAGACTCTGGAGGAAGGGCTAAGCAAGGGAACTCAAGCACCAGGTATCAGGGTCCGGCACACTATATTGTCACAGTCCTTGAGCCAGGGCTTTACTTGTTTTAGTTCTTTTGTTTAAGTCAGGGCTACTTTTGTCAATACTGGAAGGCTGCTCTTCAACATGCCTTTGGGCCAAGTTCATTGGTCAGCTACAGTATGTGATATTCAACAGGCCAGATGAAGGAGGAGCTGTGGTTTTTAGCTAAATTTCTAGCAGCCAGGAAAGAGATTGGCTGCCCTTTTCCACCATGCATAAGGGGTTGTGGTAACAGGAAATTAGATTACCAAAGAACTGAAGTGTAGGGCAACAATATCTTTTATCTTGTAAGATAGGTGCCCAGAATTACTTTGGATTGACCACATGAGCAAAGAATATGATGGGTGCTCTAATTTGAGCATTTAAAATGGGAAATTAAAGGTTATTGCTATGATTGTGTCATGTGGGTTTTGCACACACATGCATGGCTTTGGGAAGTCAGGAACTTACAGGAAGTCTTTGGCCTGTGATTCTGTGGTATGTCAATCATAAAACATTCCCCTCCTCACTTTCACAAGGGTGGGTGCTTCCAAATTAGGCCTTTTTTATGCTCTGGAGAATCTGAATCCTGAATAAGGATATAGGAATTAAAGACATTTGAACCTGAGTCATCCAATGGAGGCATTAAAGAGACTTCTGAAAGGATCTCTGTAGCTTCACTGTCTTTGGTTCTTCCTAAGGTCCAGTATCATTTTACTGTACTATGATCCAGTATCCTTTTAGCAACTACTTATTCAGTTTAAATGAGACAAGGCTGGTCTCTGTCACTTGCAACTAAAGAATTCTGCCTGATCTGGATATCAGCATCAAAGAGTAAGTATGACACAATAGTGCCTCAGGAAAGATGATGTATCTAAAAAGACTGAATTAAAGGGTTCTTTTTAAAATCTATATACTGTATCCCTTCGTATGAAGTTGAGAAATAAATCCAAAGACTACAGGACAGCCGTGTTGGATAGGTCACATTAAACAAATCCCTCTCACTCATCCTCTCTCTACTCTTGCAACAGCATTCAGTGATTCTCCCTTCACTCTTTTCAGTATAGTTAGAGTGATGACAGGATTACAGGAATCAGGAAAATGTCTTATACTCAGTTCTCAGTACATCAGAAAGGCTAGTGGGAGAATGAAGTGGGACAAAGGTCATGAAAATTTCTGTTCAAATTTTAGGATGTAAAGTGCACAGCCCATGGCGTGGAATGGTTAGACAGTTAACCTCCCTTCTTTGTTTATCTAGTAAGCATATCTGGGGTACTAGGGCAGGAAAATTATTTCTGAAGCTGTGTTAACTGTCCATCACTATAACAATATACCTCAGATAATCAATTTACAAAGATGAAAAGTTTATTTTGGCTCAGTTGTGCAGGTTCTCACTTCACTGATTTGGGCCTGTGGCAAGGAATCATTTATGATGGCAGAGGCATGTGGTGGAGGAAATTAACTCACTTCATGGCCAAGAAGCAAAGAAGAAGGGAGGGGTGGTCAGAGGACTAGAGCCCCACAGCCCCCTTCAAGGGAATATTCCCAAAGAACTAAAGACCTAAAGACTTCCCACTATGCCACACTTCTTCAAGGTTTCAAGGTTGTACTGTTTCCCAATGATTTTACCTTGGGCACCAAGACTTTAACACATAGATCTTTGAGGGACATTCAAACTCCAAAGATACAGCATTACCAGATGATAAGGTGAAATAAAGGCACAAATTTAAAAATTCTTTCTTCAAAGCTAGTTTGAAACTCTACTAGATATGTCCAGCCTGCATCCTGCATTGGGTTGGAGCCAAGTCAGTTTAATTCAAAACCCAATAGATACACAAGATACATTGTTACTTTCTCAGTTTCTGACAATAGTGTTGAAATAGCATCAACAAGTGATAACGGTTTCAGGTTGGCTTCTTACCTATGAAGTAAGGAAAATTATGGTAAGAAGTATTACGTTAAGGTCATTAGAGTCTTCTATCAAAGCATTCAATCAAAGAAATACAGAGGGAAACAGGGAAATGAAGGATGTGTCCTTGGATTTGGATGAATTAAACAGAATAATATAATGAGGCTACAACACAGAAACAAGCTAACACTTGTTTTGCCATTTAGTATGATTTATGTAGCAGTGTAATCTAGAATATTTTGGAGTTGGTAAGATGAAACCGAGTGGCCATTTCAAAGGATACTCAAATAAGGCTGTTTTTAATTTTTATACATTCTCTCTCATTCATTAAGATTATGACTGTTATCTTTCCAGTGCCTCTATTAAGCTAAAAAAATTGTTTTATCAGTAATCCTTCCCATACAAGTTATGTAATTGACAATAGGACATTGCATGTCTTAAAGCCTGTTAGTTAAGCACAGTGAACATGAATAAAGATCCTTTCCAACTGCTTTTGCCTTTGCCACATACCTAAAACTATTCATTTGCAATTGTCAGTGTAGTTTTATTTCTAACTGAAATATTTCTATAAATTAAAAATACAATCATTTATTTCTAAGTTACTTTTCTTGTGGTAGAGACAAAATACCTAACACCCATAAGTGAAGGGAGGAAAGATTTATTTAGCTCACAGTTTGTAGAGGTTTCATTCCATAATGGGCTGGCTCCAAAGCAGGGTGACAAGGCAGACAGGCATCACAAAGGAGAAACAGTTCACAGAGGGCAGAAGGTAGCAAAACAAGGGATGGCCACAGCTTTTTCTGTCCCTTATATCTTATCCAGGCTACTTACAGTGGGCAGCACTCACAACCTTAATCCTAATGCCCTTGATCCTACCATTGCAATGTGAACCCATCCCAGCGTCACCCATTCTAGATCTAGCCTCCTCTGAAAAAGCCCCACCTATGATTGCATGAGGCTTAGGGGGGACATCCAGACACAAGCCATAACTTATATGATTAAGGACAGTCTAGTAAATATAGTTCTTTTAAAAATGCCATACGTATTCCAGCATTGCAAATGTTTACAATAAGATTAACATATATCTCAATATAAAAGGAAAGGAGGATTCTGAATGGCACTCTTCTTTCATATAATTATTACTTTTATTTTCCAACCCTCTACCCCTTCCATTAATGTTTGCAAATCACCAATTATGTGCCAAACCCAGGATCAAGAAGACTGTTCTGACTTGCAGGGTGACAGGGAACAGATGGAGTCACTATAAAAATAAGAATGCTTGAGTTATTTCTGCTGTTTCAAACATCTAGCACACTGCCTAGAAAGAGGTGCTCATTTATAGAATGGTATTTCACAGTTTTCCAAGAAACAACTGCTCAAGTTCTTCATTGCAAGGATACTCCACTTGCTTTTATGTTAATGGAATTTTTCTGAATTCCTGAGTACCCAGGCCTTGTTTAAAAAAACCTTTCCTCTATCTCAGGGTCTCCGTCTCCATGGTTCTCCCACAGCATTTTCCACACTCTACTCGGTCACTCCTGGGCAGCATCTCTTCACTCCCCCAGTTCAGGAGAGTCAGTATGACACCTACTGTCTCCTAACCCATTCCTATCCCTGTTAAGTTTCAGCCATTGCCAGACAACTACTTTATTTCTGGTCACCACCATCTTTTATTCGGGTTATTGTTAGTCTTTCAATTAGTCTCCTTGTTTCTGTATTTTCACTTCTCTAATCCAGTCATTTTATGGCAGCCAAAATACTTTTTTTACAATAGAATTCTAATTAGGTTCTTTCATGGTTAAAATTCTTCAGTGGTTCTGCACTGCCCTAGAGAAAAATCCCAATCCTTTAATATGTCTTTTCAAACACAGCTGTTAATGTGGGTCATATGATCTGTTCACTAATCTCATTTTCTATTTTCATCTCCCTTTTGTTCTTCCGGTGCCCTTTAGCAAAGTTTTGCCCCAATATTTTAGTTGTACTATGAATCTCCGAGGAAAACAATGCAGTTCTTTGTGGCTGGGTAGAAAATTTAAAAGTGAGCAGCACCACCTGGTGGCCAGCATGGAGTGGGGCAGGCGTGATAAGGAAGAATTGAAAGGAAACCAGGTGAATGTGAAAAAGCCTGCAGAGGGGTTTTTGGCCTTTCTTCCCACCTAAAACTTTTCCCTCCATTGCTCCCTGCATTTTTTGACAATGCAAAATTGGTTTTCTGGAGGATGATAGTGAGGTTGCTACTGTCTTAAACTTCCATTTTCTAAAATACAAAGGCATTTTTCAAATGTGAATTTAAAATATTTTGATAGTAACTAAACTATAACGTGAGGGAAATTCTGCAGGGAGGTGACAAGCTGGTCTGACTACCACACTTTCTGATGAGCTAAGGTACAAAAGACTGGGTTCCTGGCCTCCAGAGATTCCTTCCATGTTTTCTACTTTAGTCACTGTAGTGTAAGTAGTTTCTGAAGACTCGTGTCCTTTTGACCCTCTGTTCTTTTCTTGAGACATACGTGTGATTTGCATGACTGGCAACATCAGTATTTCCTTATGATTTTGTTCTTTGTTCAATATCAAGGAGGTTGTCACACTCAGTAAGATTCTGAAGAGGTCACATCAATTTTAAATTTAAAATGTATTGCCTATTTTGGAAAAATCATATGCAGAGCTACTCACTGATTCAGGAATTCACAAATATGTACCCTTGATTATATCTTTGTATCTAACTCTTTAAACAAATTAAGGAACTGTGAAGAATTATTAATTGGTGCATTTTACTTTCTCTTAAATACCAGATATCTCAGACAAATTTTTACTAAGGAGCAATAGTGTAAGAGCTAAGTATTCTCCGCTATCTGAATTCTCATCATCTGAATATTGCAAACAATTTTTTCTCCAAATCTGTGCTGAATCAAGCCTGTCAAATGAATCCATGAGCATCTGCCAGCTAAAATATGTATTAGCGGGCTGGGGATTTAACTCAGTGGTTCCACCACCTGCCTCACAAGCAGCAAGGACTGGAGTTTGATCCCCGGTATAAAATTAATTAATTAATTAATTAAATTAAAATAAAATATGTATTAGCTTAAGCATCTAAAAATGAGGATGCAGAGTATACTGCAAATCTATCTCCAATCTTTTCCAGATGAATCTTTGCTCCTGTTGTTTAAATAGGTTGTACGTTATATAGAAAAATCATCTGCAAAAAAAAAAAAAGGCCAGGAATGTAGCTCAGCAGGCCAGCCACCTGCCTGGCAAGGAAGAGGCCCTGAGTTTGATTCTTGGTACTGAAAAAAACAAACAAACAAACAAAAAAACCTCTCTGCATTATTAAATAAAATGTTGTTTAGGAAGTTGATCCTAGGTTCTGACTACCAGTGTTTTGTTTAAATGACAAAGGGAAATAATCACAGATGATGCTATTTAAGGAAAATGTTGACATGTTCAGTTTAGTGCTCATTGTTAAAAGAGAAAGCAGAAGAGTAAACTTGAAAACTCAATGCCAAATGCATAAAAAACAACTGTGGAGTATGTGCAAAAAATGACTGATGTCATAAAAGACTGTGACCATGACAGGAGCAGAACTAACAGTGTGATTGTTAAGCTTAAATGTGAACTAGATTTCATTAAGAAGCTCCTGGAAAGCTGACCAGAGCATGATGGTGCTGTACTTGTCAGTAGATTAATCCACTGATTAATGATGCTCATAAATGAATGTGATTTTAGGAGGTGTGGCCCACGTGGAGGTGGAATTCTGGGAGAGCCTGTGGGGGACATATTCTTTGCTGGTGTTCTTCCCTTGCTCTGCTTCCTACCACCATGAAGTGAGCAACATTCTTCCACCAAGCCCCTCTGCCATGTTTTTGTTTTGGAGCCAGCCAACCATGGACTCTGATCCAAGCCTGTTACGTATATCAACCCTGTTGTATAAGTTGGTAATTGGTCCCAGTGACAGGAAAGATGACTAATACAACCACATTCAAAAATGCACTTATATGCACAATATTAGGAACTATAAAACTGCAAACAAAGAGAACTTGTATTTTGAAGGATTGCTTTATTTGCAGTTTGGAGTTTTGTTCTACAGCTTTATGCAATATTTGTCTGTCACGGATTGAGCGTTGAGCGCCAAAATGAAAAGACTATTCCTTGAATTTAGACATGGACAAACTTTGGCTGTCACCAGCCAAGGAGAATTTGTACTTCTCTCTATTCATACTCCCCATATCCACTTCACAAGTCCCTGCCTGACTCCTATCTGCCTCCACTTCCTTCTCATAAACTTCCTTCCTAGCTCTTAGGGACCACCGACACACCCTGTGTTGCCTAGAGCCCACCATAGTCATTTATTAGGGTAAAAAAACCTGAGTTCTATGGGGTTTGTCCATAATTCCAGCTACTCAGGAGGCTGAGACAGGTTCAAGTCCAACCAGGATAACTTAGTGAAGGTACAGCACCCCTGCGTGTTACCAGGGTTCTGGGGTGCTGTGGGCTCCTTCCAGAGATTCTTTCAGGTTCTTGTCCTAAAAAAAGAATTGGACAAAACGTGTGCAAAGGGTAGCAAGGTTTTACAGTTGTTAAAGGTAGGAAAAGAAGTATGTTCTGCAGAGTGAGAGCCAACTGCTGAGAAAGAGAAAGCATAGTGGCCACGAGGTTAATGGCTGCTGTCTTTTGTCCCCTCTCCACCCATTCTCTGGGTCTAGCCCGACATCAGATCTAGGCCATCGTATCAAACACCCACTTGATTTCACACCAGAAGAACTGGAGATAGCGCCTTCTTGTTAGTCACAGGTGCAGGGCATGGAACTGCTTTTCTGCACGTGTCCTGGATCTCCTTGATGAGCAGGTCGCCCCCACTTGCCCAATGGCCTGCCTTGCCATCATCTCCTGCTCCACTACCACTGACCAACCCAGCCAGGAAGCACCATTTATACTGAGACTTGAAGGATAAGCTTCAAGTAGCCAGAAACAGAGTTATGAAAAACAGAGTAAGGAGAGTAGCACAGCAAAAGCACAGTATCATGATCAAGGTTCTGTGGGAGGGGGCAGCCTGCTCCGTCTGAGGATGACCCTCACTGAATCAGGAGGGATGTGATCTGCCTGACCTAATCTTCCACACACCTGACTACCTAGAAACAAATTATCTTGTTTGCATACCTTTCTTTGTTTACTCCTTCATTCTCTAGGCTGAGGTCTGACCTAAAATGTCTTATCAAAATCCTTCTTGAGTTCGCGCCAGAATAATTGAAACTATCGTTTCTGGATTGGCCCAGGTTCAGGGCGTGGAAACTGCTTTTTTTTTCTTTTTCTTTTTTGGAAACTGCTTTTCTGCCCATGTGTCTTCTATCTGCATGACTGACAGGCTACGCCCTACTTTCCTGGCTCAGTGCTACTGGTGAAAACCTAATGTCCTTTAGAAAACACCACCACTAGCTACTATTATCTACTATTATTTTTCAGCATTCCAACAAAACTAGCGTTGTGATCGTAGGTAAGTTACTCAATGTTTTGATCCTTCCTCATCAGTAAGACAGGCGTATTAAATACTTAATAGGGTTTTTTTTTTGAAGGGTGGAATGAACTTGATAAAGAATGCTCAATAGATATTTATATTTAATAAAAAGCTTAGCTTGTGCTTTATCACGTGCTAACCACTTTTCTAGGTGCTTTTTCCAAATAACAAAACCTTGTAATAATTCTGTATCATAGGTACTGTCTACAGATAAGACTAAGACAAGAGTTAGCACCTAGCTCAGTCAGGTGATCAAAAGGCAGCAGGTCAGGGATCGGAACTCTGGCGGTCTGTTCCCAGAATTTGCACTCTTTGCCAAACTGCCTCCTCCAAATAGTTATTGCGTATTTATTAGAATACTGTCTGAAAACTGCACAGTGCTCTACCACAATTGCTTAGTTCCTCTGTCGCAAAACGAAGCCATCTTTACTGCCTCCGAGCTTCCCCCAGCTTTTAGCTCCTACACGGACAAAGACTGGAAAAAAATCAGCATTCCCGGAAGCCCGCTAGTCAGGCGCCACGAGCCCCAGTCCAAGGCAGACCACGCCCCCTTCCCTGGCTGCGCCCCCAACCCTGGTTCCGCCCCTCGTCCCGGATGCTGTGGACGCCTCGCCGGCTTCCACGTACGCGCTCCAACGTCTCCCCCCAGGAGAACACATCCGGGTCGCTGTGCAGGTGACTTAGGCCCCGCCCCTTCCGGCCAGCGCTCACCGCCACTTCCGGCCATCTCGGGCTTTCCCCCCCTGCTCCTCTGCCAGCAGTCTCTGGGCTCCTCAGGTCGTTCCTTGGTCGTGGGAGGCCTCTGAGCGCCTCATCCCGGAATCCCGCGATTCCTTGACCTCCAGCATCCCCCCTGAGGCTCAGGAGGCTCTGCCGTGTGCGTCTTCTCGGGGCGCTCCGGGTGAGGCCTGCCGCGCGTCGTGAGTCGGCACAGACCTAGCCCGCGTCCCCGCGAAG